ACAACGCGGCCTCGGCGACGAGGAACGCGGGCTGTGGCGATTGAGGAGCGCGGGTAAGCCTCGAGAAACCCCCACGCCAGCGGAGCCACGCCCAGGAGCTTATTTCCGACGTTCCACGGAATCGCCGGCTTGCCGAGGACAACTAGGAGTCGCGCTCGGTTTGCGATTCTGGTCGCGCCTGCGCCAGGATGCGCGGACTTGTGCTCCATCTGCAATTCTGGGCGCGCCTGCGCCGAAATGCGCGGAGCCACGCTCTATTGGCGATTCCGGGCGCGCCTGCGCCCGAATGCGCGGAATCGCGCTCTAGTTGTCATTCTGGGCGCCCTGCACACTCCACTCCATTTGCGATTCTAGGCGCGCCTGCGCAAGAATGTGGGGAGCCGCGCTCCAGTTGCGATTCTGGTCGCGCCTGCGCCACAATGCGCGGACTCGCGCTCCGTTTGCGATTCTGGGCGCGCCTGTGCCAGAATGCGCGGAGTCGCGCTCCATTTGCGATTCTGGGCGCGCCCGCGCAAGAATGCGCGGAGTCGCGCTCCATTGACGATTCCGCGCGCCTGCGCCAGAATGCGCGGATCGCGCTCCAATTGTCATTCTGGGCGCGCCTGCGCAAGAATGCGCGGAGCCGCGCTCTATTGGCGATTCCGGGCTCGCCTGCGCCAGAATGCGCGGAATCGCGCTCAAGTTGCTATTCTGGGCGCGCCTGCGCAAGAATGCGCGGATTCGCATTCGATTTGCGACTCTGGACGCGCCTGCGCCAGAATGCGCGGGTTCGCGCTTCTTCTGCGATTCAGGGCGTGCCTGCGCCAGAATGCGCGGAGTTGCGCTGCATCTGCGATTCTCAACGCGCGCGCGCCAGAGCATGGCGAGTCGCGCTCCATTTGCGCTTCTAGGCGCGCGTGCGCAAGAGAATGTGGAATCGCGCTCCAGTTGTCATTCTGGCGCGCCTGCTCAGAAATGCGCGGATTCGGGCTCCACTTGCGATTCTGGGCGCATCTGCGCCAGAATGCGCCCTGTTTGCGATGCGCCAGAACGCGCGAATTCGCGTTCCATTTGCGATTCTGGGCGCGCACGCGCAAAAGACGGCGCCGCGCAGGCGCGGTGAGAAACAGCCCTTCGGGCTTGGGTGTGTCCGCGACAAGACACAACCCTGGGTTTGCCCGCGAAAAGGCAGGGACCCATGCCAGAAGCCCCCAAGTCGGCGGGCTTAGCGCCAGAGGCCTCCAAGTCGGTAGGCGTGGCAAGGCAGAGGTCCCCAAGTCGGCGGACATGGCTGAGGATGCCCTCTCGGCGGGCCACGGTGGCGACGAGCGCGGGCACGGCAGACAGAGCGCCCCCGCCAGAGAGCATCACGCTCTTGAAGCAGCACTTGTCCGCGAGAAAGCAGGAAGCCTAGGTTTGCCCGCGAAAAAAGCACAGGCCCGAAGGGGAACAGCGTTTAGGGCTTGGGCTTGTCCGCGAGAAGACAGGGACCCTGGGTTTGCCCGCGAAAAGGCAGGGACCCATGCCAGAGGCCCTCAAGTCGGCGGGCTTGGCGCCAAAGGCCTCCAAGTCGGTAGGCGTGGCAAGCCAGAGGTCCCCAAGTCGGCGGACATGGCTGTGCAAGAGCTGCCGCGACACTCCCAGCGGTCAAAGCGATGAGGAGCGGCAAGAATCGACTAGCTTTCGACGCTGCTTCCTCCAGGAAGCTCAAACACGAGGACAACAGACGCGTCTCGGCGACGAGGAACGCGGGCTGTGGCGATGAGGAGCGCGGGTAAGCCTCGAGAAACCCCACGCCAGCAGAGCCACGCCCAGGAGCTCACTTCCGCCGTTCTACGGAATCGCTGGCTTGCCGAGGACAGCTAGCCCGCGAGGCAGGCGAAGAGGCATGCCTTTCTTCGGCTGCGAGCCAGCTTGCTTGACAAAGTCGCGCATCACCTCTGCGAAGGCATCGCTAGTCGTCGCAGCAGGGGCCACGTCACTGCTGCTTGGTCCTGCGCCGCTGCTGCCAGCGGTGCCTGCCTGGCCACGCACTTGCCCTGGACGCGCAAAGCGTACACGAGCTGCGACGGCGGGAATTTCAGAAGCTTCCAAGCCTCCGGGTAATCCTCAGCGCCGAAGGGGAAGTCGTTGGGCTTAATGCCCTGCGTGATCATGCCGCGGATCACCACGTCACTGTAATCACTCGGGTGGGTGCTGCCCACGAGGTTGGCGAGAGCTGCGGCTACACTGGTGTAGAAACGCAAGTCGTGTTTGGCGCGTGGAGCTTCGTCGACGCTCAGTGCGAACCGCACCCAGTTCAGCCTGTCTGCGGCGGGCGCCCGGGAAAACGCTGCGGCAGGCAAACCCTCGAGATCAGCCTTGATCTCAACGTCTGTGAACGAAACCTGCGCCATGGTGTTGCGGACAACGAAGCAGGAATCTGCAGATTGGTTAGCTGGCGAGCAACATAACAAAGACTGACTCGAACCGTGGAGGCTACGGACAGCACAGTTGCCACACAAGACCGCCGAGCAAAACGTGGGACGAGAAACGGGCAGACCCAGCAAAATTTCTCGTCGCCCTCTGTCGTTGCGTTCTCGCACGTACGATGGGCAGCCAACCTTCGCGCAGCTGGCTGGGGGTCATCCTGGGAAAGCTCCCAGAGCACCCCAGCCAGCAGAACACAGGGAGGGCGGGCGGGAAAACGAAAACCACGCCCCGCGGCAAGCCCCAACCGCCACGGCACCTTGGCAGGGGCGCCCCGTTGGCACCGCCAGGCGTCTGCCTGGACGAAGCGCTGACTTGGCGCAGCGCTCGCCACAGACGGCACCCCCACATGCCCTTCCGGGCCCACCGACAAAACAGACAACAAACAGACGACGCCGACCAACAGACCAACGACACAACAGACACCCGCCACCCAAACGGGCGGAGCGCGTGGAACGAACTCACTCACCCCTCCCGGGGATCCGCTGCTCCCACCAGGGAGCGCCCGCTCCAGCGAGCCAAAGGCATGGAGACAAGGAGGCCAAGAGGCCAGGATGCAAGGAGCCCTAGCGCTCCTCAAAATTTCACTGCCCCCCAAATCGCTTCGCGATTTAGGGGCGACTAAAATTTCTCGTCGCCCTCTGTGCCGTTGTGTTCTCGCACGTACGATGGGCAGCCAATCTTCGCGCAGCTGGCTGGGGGTCATCCTGGGAAAGCTCCCAGAGCACCCCAATGCACCCAGGTGGCCCGGACGGCTGCGCGAAGCGAAATGCAACTGATTACCGAGCTCACCCCCTGCAAGCAGGAGCATTTTTACTCCGCAGCCTCCGATGATTCTAAATGCTCAATGAGGAACTCCGCCGCAGCGATACCGCCACGAGCCCTGACAGAGGCGTAAGCGAAAGCAGAAAGGCCACGCCATCCGCCAGAGTAAAAACAACGCCGTAGGGCCATTGGCCTGCAAGCACTCTGTGGCCCAGCCGCGCCTGAAGGCATGCGTTCCCCACGCAGACGCGTTGGGTGGGCCGCACGCCTGGGCCGCCAGTTTCAACGTCGCTAAACTTTCAGAGTAGCTGACCCCTGGGAACAAAAGACCGTTGTCGCCGGCTTCCCTGGAGCACAGGACGCAGACTCCGCACAAGGCCTTACCTTGCAAGCTACAAATGCATTTTCTGATTACCTGCGCCGGCTCAGAATAGCACTTTCTGCTCATGCACGTTATTGTCACCTCTTTCCGTGAAGTACCCGGTGCATCGATGACAACTGGCGCCGCCGCGGAGCCAATTTGCAATACTTCACTACAACGCAAGCAAAAATGCCTTGCAACCACCCAGGACGCGCCCACGTCGACGAAGCCGAACGTTGAGCACCATCTCACCAACGCCTTGGTTTCCGCAGCTGTCGCTCGTATCCGGGGCCTCCTTAGCGATCTACCGGCCTTCTCTGCTCCCCGGATCACCCGCGCCGTATCCGCCAGGGGCCCAAGGGGAGCCCGTAGCCACAGAAGCACCGCACGAAGATGAGACAAATAGCGCGCCAGAGTGGCCGCACTCCTGAAAAGGCCAACGTATACGTCGATGATGGCGTGAGTGGGCGGCCACGCAGCCACCGCACACAGGACGGCGACTCTTCCATACAGCCGCACAGCCGAAGAGCATCCGCGGGCACTCGCCTTCCAGCCACAGAACTCCAACCATACTGCTTGCTCTGCCATGGTAGACACATCCACGCTCGCAGCATCCCGGCGCAAGGCCTCCTGCCTAGGAGGTAAGCGGGGTGTCGCGAACATCGTCGCATCCGCTTTTGCCAACGCCAAGATAGCATCTGCGAGAACGTCCGGGTCTGGGACCTGCTCCGCAGCCCGCGCGGCAGCACACAGCTTCAAGGCAGCCCTGGCTGATACTGCGCCGGAGTGCCCACGAACAGGTGGACGCACAACCGCCGGAGCCGAACATGAAGACGAACTCACCACTGGCCCTCGCGGAATCTCCTGTTCGCTCTCGCCGGCTCCCGCTTCACCTGAGCGTACTGGGGTCTTAGCGGAATGTTGCTTGCACAGCACCAGAAAAAGCTCCACGAATTGAATGGGCTGAGGCGCTAGCGCTTCCCAGAGGTCCTGCGCTTCCGGCGCCGAGGTGCCAACGAAATCAAAAGGAAAACAGCCACCGTCTATCTTTAGCTGTTCTGCAATTCGCGAAAATGCGAGCTCCAATTGCAAGATGCCTCCTGCGCGCTGTAGAAGCGCCCCCACTTCTGACGTTTCCCTTTTGAGATGATGTCCAGCGGCAGGCTGGATTAATCTAGCGGGGGATGTGCGAAAGCCCTCTCGCCAGGCACATCGCCAAATTTTGGCGCTCTTCATCCGCCATGTCACCACCATCTGCCCGGGTTGCTCTGTGCGTTCAGGATGGAGCTCAGGCCAGAGTGCAGCCAGTTTGGTAAGGTTTTCGTTTCCTTAATCTTCTGGGCTCAGTGTCTCCTCTGCTTTGCTACAGCGCCCCACCGCTAGCAGCATACAAACAGGCAACGAGGAAACGATCCGACAGCTAGCAATGGCTGCCACTTTCACGGCTGAGGAGCTGCGCGCTGACTTCGAGGGCCTGCCGTCTTCAGCATTCAACGGCGCCGACGAGAGTGGCCGTCTGCAGTGGATGGAGACTGTGCTGGCGGCCGAGAAGGATCCGCGCAGCAAGCACGACATCCGCTTCTACACGGGCGTCGGCCGCTTTCTGGCGGAGACGGTGTGCAGCACCCAGCCCGAGGACTTCGCTGATGCGTACGTCCGCGACGTAATCAAGCAAAGCTTCAGGGTTGGTGATACTCCTTTCTTTCTCAGCGCAGGGCAACCCCGAGAGTTGGAAGAGCTTCAAGCTGACCCCTGCCATGGTCGTCTGCGCTTTGCGCGTCCAGGAGGCGTGCGCCACGCAGAGCGGCCAGGCAGGGCGGACGAGCGGGACTGCTGGGACCAACGACTCTGATGATGGTTTCAAGGACGCCGTCCGTGAGTTCGTAAAGGCCCAGGCTGAGCAGGCCAAAACCAACGTGAAGAAGGGCCTCAGTTTTAACCTCGCGGACCGCAAGGTTGAGGTCGGTTTGGCTACGTTCCCGGTGGAGGGACTCCCGAGCGAAGAATTGCTTGCCAAGTGGGAAGCGTCCGGTAAATCGGCTGCAGACCGCGGTAGGCTGTACGTCGGGAGCTTCGACGGAGACGACTACCAGGTTGCGCACCGCCCGTACTGGAGCCGTTCGCCCAAGATCGACGCTGTCACTGGCCACGGTTCTCTGGAGGAGAGGCTGAAAGAAACGCTGGATATGAAGAAAGCCCGCTCCTACGACGACAGGGTGCAGTTCCCTGGTTTCGCCACGTTTTTGGGGCATGTCCTCACATGGGGGCTGAAACTTGTCCTCACGAAAACGTGCACCCAGACGCACCTCCTCTCCTACGTGTTCCTGCTTACCAGGGTCGCCGAGGAGCATGGTGGCGCGTTCACGGCCTACCACTACGACCTGCTTGTCAGGAAAGCCATGGCGCAGAAACTAGAGCACGAGGAGGGAGACGTCTTGCACTTCCTTTTGAAACTGAACATGGATTTGGTCGGTGAGGCCAAGGCCAAAGCCTCGGCGGGATCAGCCAAAGCTGCTAAGTTTGTTCATTCCAAGGCGAGTGCTTCTGGGTCGTCGCAGACCGCCCCCAAGGGTGGCGGCAAAGGCAATGGCAAGCAGGGCGGCAAGGCCGGTGGCAAAGGTGGCGGCGGGACCAAGAGCCCTGCCCCCAGCACGCCTCCGCGGATGAGGTCCCGGAGCCGCCCGAAGGCGGACCAGAAAAGCAGCTGGGACAAGAGCGGCGGCTGGTATGGCAAGAAATAGCTGATCTGTGAAGCCAGGCTTCGAGTGCTGGCTCAGAGCCTGGGGCTGGCAGTACTTGTTCTAGGATTTCTGAGGAGAGCGAGGGTCATCAGCAGCAGCTGCTTGGCGGATTTGCCGCTTTGAGCGCTGCTGTGAACGACCTTCTGGCCAACTCAGTTTTGCTTGGGTCCATGAGCCCATGGACTCATCTCGAGTGGTCCCTCTCCCTACCTTCCAGCGAAGAGCCCATTGCAGCGCCAGCAATAATAGTTGAGGCTCTGCGAGGGGCGGAGTCCTGCACGGATTCCGAGCTCGAGGCGCGTCGGGCAGAGAGGATTCGGCACTGGACCGAACGCAAACGCGTTTTGGAACCCTCTTGGAGAGAGGAATTTTCCCGGCTGCCAGTTCACTGCCGATACGTACTTGGGCCTAATAAAAATCTGTTTCTCTTAGCGGAAATGGTGCAGGCCATACAGTGGCCTGACGATGAACTCGTCCACGACCTCTCTTTCGGCTTTCCGCTGCTGGGAACAGTTCCTAGAGCTGGCATTTTGCCAGCACTTACCGCGCGATGCAGCATTCCGAAGAGACGCTGCTCGCGAACGCTCTGCAATACAATGCGGCTACGCTCCAGCGCATTCGTCAGCCAGTGCACGTGGAACGCGAAATTCGCGAAGCTTTCGAATCGAAGTGCGTGTAGGAAGTAGCTGACAAGAAAGCTTGGTGGACCAAGCTGGATTTGCAGTCATCTATCATCTCAGCCCGTTTCCCCGCTTTCGAGGGGTGGAGGGACAGCGGCGGCGGAACGCGGGTTCCAAAAATCCGCTTGATTGATGACTTCTCCGCTTCTTTTGTCAATGCCGCTACGTCGCTGGGCGAGCCCATGCCAGTGGACACGCTGGACACGCTTGTTCAGATTGCCCGCGCGCTCGCCGGCAACAGTGCAGGCGAATGCGATCTCCTTTTTAGGAAAGAAGACTTTAAGGGAGCGTTTAAGTCTTTGCCACTGCGCAGTGGCCACCTGGCCTTTGCTGTGGTCTCGTGGCAGAGCGCCGCGGAGCAGGGCAGAGGATTGCAATTGATTTGCTGTCCTTTCGGTTCGTGCGCGTCTGTGTACAGCTGGCACCGGCTTGGATCCTTCTTCCAAGCGCTTCTGGCGCGAGAGTTGTTGGTCGCTTACCCTCGTTTTGTCGACGATCTATTTTCTGTCGACTGCGTGCGCGCTGGCGCGCGTGCCGACGCAGCAGCGCAGGACGCAGGGGCACGCGCCCAGGAGCTTCTCGAATTGACCGGCTGGGAGCTTGAGCCAGCTAAGCGGGTGAGGTGTGCCAACGAAGCCACCATGCTCGGTGTCGAATGTTCTTCGCGCCCGGGCGAATTGGTTTTCGAGACAGGTTGTGCCAAGCGTGAAAAATGGCTGACCACAGTGCAGGTTGCGCTCCAGCACGATTATTTACGGCCAGCTGAAGCTCGCAGACTGGCTGGCCGGCTGACTTGGGCAGGGAGCGCTGTGTTTGGCAAGGGCGCTCGTGCGTATTTGGCAGCATTGCATTGGCAAGCGCATCGCCGCACTGGCTCCTTGACCACGCGCGTCCGGACGGCGTTGCGTTGGTGGGATAGTTTTTTATACCCCCTAAACCAAAGGGGAGGAAAATCTAAAGCCCCGCCTGATGTAAACCGGTTGGTGGATTCATCAGTTGATGGCTTTAACCGTGTACGTAAACTCGTGGGCAGTCACGCTTGGGCTCCCGACGGAGCAGCGGATTTCTTCCAAGGCCTGGTTGGCTCCAACTCGGAGCAGCGGTGGTCTTCGACAACTCCGGAGGCCGATCGGGGCACCGCCCGGCTCGGGGGCGGGATAGCAAGTTCCCGGCACCACGGCCGCCGCGGAGCAAGCGCCCTGCGGGGTGCACTCGCTCCACCGAGGGGTCTTTGCAAGCCCCAGTGGTCCACATAGTGGGCCAGGTGCTGTTCGCAGCGCCCGTGGTGGCTTCATGGGTTGCATTTCTCAGCTGGCGCTCCTCGTCGCCACTCTCGGCGTCTTTCGTTGCCAGGCTGGTCTGCCCGCACTCTCTCGTCGCCAAGCTCGCTTGCCGCGGTCCTCGTCGCCACTCTTGGGCCCCTGGCCTTGCCGCCGCACCCTTGCCCGTGCCCGTGCTGGCCAGTGCCTCCTTTCAGTGGGTCCCTGGCCTTGCTGCCACACCCCGGCCCGTGCCCTTGCTGGCCAGCGCCCTTTCTTTGCGGGTCCCTGGCCTTGCTGCCATACCCCGGCCCGCGCCCTTGCCGGCCAGCGCCTTCCTCGTCGCAGGCCGTCCTGGTGGCCACACTCGCCGGCGCTCCCTCGTCGCCACATGCACTCTCTCGCCCTCCTCGTCGCCAAAGTGCAGGGTCCCTGGCCTGGCTGCCATGCTCTGGCCTGCGCCCTTGCTGGCCAGTGCTGTGCACAAGTGGGTCCCTGGCCTGGCTGCCATACCCCAGGCCCGCGCCCTTGCTGGCCAGCGCCTTCCTCGTCGCATGCTGGTGCGCCTCGCAAGCGCTGGGGTCGTTCTGGCGCCAGCACGCCCAGAATTGCATTCTGCGCGCGATTCTGCGCAATCTCGCGCCGGCGCGTCCAGGAGTGCAATCGCAGCGGATCCCTGCAATTGCGGTCAGGGCGCAAACTTGCGCATTGCACTCCGAATGCGCTCATTCTGGCGCCAGCCTGCCCGGAGTGCACCTGCCCTGGCTGAAATACCTGGTCTCGTGCCCTTGCAGGCCGCGCCCTTGCTGGCGCCTCCTCGTCGTGTGCCCGCGCATGTCTCTCCTGCGGGCCTGCTGGGCTGGCTCGCCGGCCACCCTGGCAGGGCTGCCCGTTTCTCGCTGGTACAGCGCCCGTATCTGTGCGCACAATCGCGCATTCTGGCGCTAGCGCGCCAACAGGTGCTGTCTGGGCGCAAATCTGCACACTTTCGCGCTGGCCCGCCCAGAATTGCAATCGGGGCGCGAACCTGCGGAATCTGTCGCCAGCTCGCTCAGAATGGCATTCCGAGTTCTAACAGAGCTGGACTCCGCGCAATCTGGCGTTGGAGCGGGCAGGGTTTCAATCGGTGCTCGAATCTGCGCAATCTCGCGCTGGCGCGCCGAAGAGGCGAACAGGCGCTTTCGGCGCTAGCGCGCTCAGAAATGCACTCTCAGGCCGAATTTGCGCACTCTGCCGCCAGCGCACCCCGAATTGCATTCTGGGCGCGACTTGCGCATTCTGACTCTAGCGCGCCCAGGGATGCATGCTGAGGCCGAATTTGCGCAATCTGGCGCCCTCACGCCCAGAAGTGCCGTCGGAGGGAAACCTTCGCCTTTCGGACTGGTGCGCCGAGAATTGCATCTGGAGGGCAAACCTTGTATTCTAGCGCAAGCGCGCTCAGATTCGCACTCTCAGCGCGAATTCGCGCGCCTGGGCGCCAGCGCGCTCAGAATTGCAGTCTGAGCTCATTTGTGCGTTCTGGCGCCGGTGCGCGCCCAGATTCGCAATCGGAGCGCTCGTGCTCCGAGGCGTCCGCGCGCCCAGAATTGCATTCAGAGCACACTTTTGCGTAGTGGCACTGCCCAGGTTCGAATTCGCGCTCCTGGGGGCACTGGAGCATCTCAGAGGACGGCTGCACGAGAATCATCCTGGGCGTGATTTCGCGGACCGCACGAGCTAGAAGGAGTGGCAACGGACACTCTGGGCACTCGGGGTCGGATGTGTGCAGGCGGCAGAAGCTAGTCCTTGATGGGGGGGCATTGGCTAACCCCCCACCTGCACACAACGGGGGCGGGGGTGCTTTGCACTTGTGCAGCACGCCCGTCCTCGACCGACCCCGGGGGGCCCGCGTCCCAAACGGCACGTAATCGGAATATCCATGCTGACGCCCTTTCACCAGAGAACTCAGAATTAAATTCTGGTGTAGCTCGTGAAAATTGGGCTCAGGTCACTGGCCATTCGTTCCGCTACGGACGGATTTCTTAGGCTAAATTTCCGGGCAGTCCGAAAAAAATCAGGGCGACGACGCTCCCCTGCATTAGCGTGGGATGTGCGGAAGCCCCCTCGCGTGCTGCCACTTGGCCAAAATAGGCCTCGGTACGCTGAAAATAACTCCCTACTCACTCTGGCCTGGCGGAGGGGGAGGAGCAGGGAGACCCATGTAGTTCCCCTGGCCGCTGAGCGGTCAAAGGGGTTCGACTGGGATCGGCGTGGCACTGCTGTAGCTTGCATGGTTTCGCCCCAAGATGACCCGAGTGGCCCCCCTGGCCGCGATGGAAGTCAAAGGGGGGTCGCCGGGATGTGCGGCAGCGAGAGCTGTGCGAATTTGCATCCAGGGAAGGCGGAGCGGAGCGGAGGACTCTCTCCCCTTCCTTCCTTCGTGCTGGGTCAAACGGCCGACGTGCCGTTGCGACAGCTGGGCGCGATCGGGAAACTGGCTGCTGGACGCAGGTGGGGGGTGCTCAGGAGGCTGAAACGGTGGTGCGCCCATGTCCCACAGAAAGAATGGCCGTGTCAGTCGCGTTGCAATGGCTCCAGGCGTTCATGCATTGGCTCTTCCGGAGTCGTCTGGGCTCAGAGTGATTGGTTGCTCTTTGCGTCCACGCTCTCACCCACCACCTGCTGTTGCATTCGGGGACACCCAATCATGCCTCTTGAGTCAGGAAGGGTGCAGTCTTTGATTGCTAAGGTTCCAGAAGGCAAGTGGCTGAAGTTGTCGAGCAGTGCCATCGAAGTGGCTCCACTTCGTTGCGGACGCAAACGAGCCAATCAGCCATGACGAGGTGTTTTATGCCAGCGTCGCCCGAGTGATGTCCGAACAGATGGGCTCAGCAGCGCCGTCGGACTTCGCGGACCCACAGATGCGCACTTTCATCATCGAAGGTATCCGCGCAAACACCACGCCGTTCCAAGACGACCCTGAAGGATCGGAGTGGAAAGACGTGCGGCTCACCCCTGCGCACATCACGGCTGCTCTTAAAGTGCAAGCTCGGGCAGCAGGGTCTCAGAGCAACGGCCCGGC